TTTTATTCTATAGGGTCTTGGCATTCAGAAAATATATAATGTTGGGGGGTTTTACGTCATTTTCAGGCCTAAAATGTGGAATATAACATGGGTGCAAAAAATGAAAAAAGGGCCTCAGTCATGAAGGGGTTAAAGGGCAAATTACTGAAAAGTGACGTATGCTTATATTGGCACCCACTGGCATCTCGTACCTCGGATAGATTCCATTAATCAGATCATTCTGATACTTTTCCAAGCTCTGCTTCTCTGAAGCTCACAAGTCAAGCTAAAACTGGTATCACCCTATCATTTTTATGAATCATTTGGAAAGCTCTGAGGGGGAACCAAAACGCACAAAAAAAACTAGAATATAGTACAAACTATGAAATATACCAGTATACACACAAGACGTACATCGGCATCATATGACATTCTAATTGAGAGATGCTGCACACAGGCCAACTCATACTTACTGTGTAGGATTCCACCAGCACTGTGGTCTCTAATGCCAGCTTCTGCTCTTGTTCTATATTGTAACCAACATAGCAGAGCTTCTCCTTCATCATACGCACAGTCTCAAAATCTGCGGAGTGATTGAAGGCGTAGCCACGCAACAAAAGCAACTGCAAGAAATAAGACAGTTTTTATGATGTTAATATATATATATATATCCAAACATATATTCCATTCCTCATTAGGGCTGCACCTAATTATTATTATGCAGGATTTATATAGCTTTACAATACAAGTAAGACATTACATTCACAATACAATCCAAGACAAGATGGTAAGGAGGGCCCTTCCTGTGCTAGTGATTTTCCTAATCGATTAGTTGACCGATTATCTTTTCGATTTATCGGATGAAAAAAATATACCATCCTTAAATTTAGAATAAAATACACAAATGCAGCGTTACAAACAGTTTACTTCAGAATAAAACGGTATGCACAATTTTTTGCAATCGCACTGCACTGGAATGCATGGCATTGCAGTACAGTGCATTCCAGTCCGGGTGATCACACTGTGGGCGGGAGGTGTGTTTGAGGTGCCATTGAAATAAATGGTACTGCAATGCACCTCCCGCAGCAGAATTTCGCAGGCTGAAACCAAAAATGACTTTCCTCCCACCTTTTATCATTTTTTTTCTTTTTCCAATAATAGTGTAAGCACATGGCTCTTTAATATCTTCAGCCAGGAATGACAGCTGCCAGTGGCAAGATTCCACAGACGGCACCTGAATGTAAATACAACAGGTAGCGGGCGGGTGCAATAGCCAGCCTGCTATTGGCCATTTCAAATTGCAATAGCAGGCTGGCTTTTGCACCCACCCACTGCTTGCTGTGCCCTCCTCCCAGCATGGAGGAGAGAGCATGGGGACACAACCAACTAATCCATAATGAGAATAGTTGACAACCATTATGGATTAGTTGGTTGCAGCCCTATTCCTCATGTAAAAAACAGTGTGAACACTAGGCAACAAGTACAATAATTCAATAAATAACTTAATCAGGAAAATTGCTGCTGTGCCAAAGCACCTCAATTTAGTCTCACAAAAGTTTCAGCAGGACTTTCAGAGTTCCTCTACTAAAGCCATTTGTTGCTCCTATTAATGTGTACAATTTGGAAAAGATCCAGTAAAATGGAGAAGTAAAGAAAATCGGTAAATTATTTACAAGGACTGTGGTAAGCACAATGAGGATATCCAAGTCATTCATAATTAAATGAGGGATATTAAGACATGGCCATTCTTCTGGATGAGAAAAGCCAAGCAACCGAGACTCCCTAGCTTACATACTCACATGCCTGGAGACAGAAGACCTGATAACACTAGAAAAATATCTCCAGGACCGTTCGATATGATCTGGTCAATGGTAGATGTCTTCATATTTAGGCATAAACATGCATGTTTTAAAGCTGCCCAAGTCAAAATGGTAATAACTGCTTATTATGAGGTATCGCCACCAATGGGACAGTGCTATCCAACCTGTTCACCTGTTCTTTTACCCACAAGGTAGCTAGGCCCAATTTTACATTTCAGCATTACTATACATACGGCACATTATTTGGTATGAAGTTATGAGCTATGAAATACTGGATTCATGTATAAAAACAGTAGCAGTAAAAATTCAGAAACTTTTAATTGAATATACTTGTATATCTAAGCTATCTCTACAGGTTCAACACAACTATTTATGTACATAAGATTTAAATACGGTTAGGAACAATTATACACTGGCCAAGTGGACATAAAGAAAAAAGTCAACATGAACATTTCCAGCATCCAACAGTAGTTCTTGTGTTATCAGTTTTCACCACAAGATGGCACTGTGTAATCTACACTGATCACCCACCAAGGAAAACATACGGAATCAGTATTCACAACCACTGTTACCTGGTCTGAAACTATATAGCACTACTGTGCAGTCCATATTTTTGACATTGAAAAACCTGGTTCCAAAGCCAAGGTAGAAAAACCGTATAGAGATATCTTAAGAGCACAAGATGGAAGAAGATTAAAAGTTAATTTTCCAAATGTCATTGGATGGTGTTACCTCAAAAGTGATTAGAATTTCTACTAAAGTTGCTGCATATGGAGGATTCTTAAAGAAATGTAAAGTTTGATTAACAGGGCCAGCTACTCGAAATACAAAGAATGTTAATTCTCAATGTATTACCTTTCATTTCTGAAAAATGTATTTCTATTTGGTGAACTTTGCTACCAAAAACAGGAATATTTGGGGGGATTCCCTGTGCTTAAGTATTCTATGGACTTCATATAAACATTGTAGGTGTATTCCTATTATATAATTGCACTATAGACAGTACAATACAAAATATTTGGAAGAATGCACCACTAACAATAATGGAAATCTCTCTCTCCCTGCAACGGTTATTTTAAACCAATGATTGGTCAGTGTCCACTTGCAAGTGATATACCACATCTGAAAGGATATACATCTTTACAGCCCTTATCTGCTTTCTAGCAGCCCATGGGTATACTAAATACCACTTATCTGTGGGAAGAGGAAGCTGTTCCTTTTAACCATAATGAAAATTCCATGTTGACTCCAGGGCAATCAGCACCACAAGCATTTTCCAACTGTGATAAGGATCCAGCAATGGTGAATGGCGAGTGTATGTTTAAAGGAGAACTACACATTAAACTACATAGGAGGGTTTGTAAATGTGGAAGTGTCTGTACTGAAGATTCCAAATCAGATCACAACACACGTACTGGACTCAAGTTAGAGCTTTCTGGGCAGTATAGAAGACACAGAAGCCATATGTTATTAGAATGATTCTCACAACAGGCCCAAAACACTGGTAACATTATTTTTTATCCAAGTGAAAAGGTATATACACAAGTAAACATATTTTCATTATATATATTTTACTTTATTATGATACCACTATGCAATTCTGGAGTGGCGCCTCAAAGTACCCTGAACAAGAAACAAGTAATAATGACAGATAACTAATTAGCATATATTCACAAGTGGCTAGCAAAAAGTTGGACCTGAATGCAATAATTTACATTTTATAGAGAACATGGTCATTTTACCTTGATAAGGTAGCGGGTGATGTCCCTGCCCGCAATGTCAAGTCTCCTAGTAAGATGAGGCAGAGAGAAACCTTCGTAAACTGGGCAGATATGAGTGACCCCATCTCCAGAGTCTACCACCACTCCGGTCAGGAGACCTGCAGAGGAAGCAAAAACATATTCTATTGTGAGGAGGGTGCATCTGGATTCGTTACAAGCTACCTTGGGCACTACTGTTCTAAGCCCTCATTCACACAGTGTTTTGAAGCGCTTTTCCTGCTCAAAAATACCCAAATAATTCCCGTTCATTTCTATGTATGTAATTTTCTATGTAAAATAATTTCTATGTATGTCATTTTCTATTGTAAATAATTCTATGTCATTTCTATTCACTTTATGTATGCGCATTTAAGGAGTGTAAAAACGTGCACAAACGTGCTACACAAAAGGCATTGAAAAAGTGCAAATTTGATGTTGCTCGGGTGTGAATGAGGGCTTAGGCTACATTCACACAAGGCTTTAATGTGCAGCTGGGGATAACCGAGGCAGAAGTCCCAGGTGTATATACAGATGTGATCACTGTGCCCGTCCAAGTGAATGACAGGGCGACAGCAGCCGCATCCGTCAGTGGATGTCCACATGTAATCATACATGGAACAATTGTCTGCAGTTTGAGATAGACGATTGTCCCTAGACACAGACAGACTGCATCCAGGGACATGGATCTATCCTGACCCGCAGGTAACTGTTCCATGTACCATTACACGCAGACAGCCGCTGTCATCCTGGCATTCACTTGGACGGGCACAGCAGCCGCATCTTTATGGACACACTTGGGAATTCTGCTGCAATAATCCATAGGCTGTTTCCACAGGAATCCCCAGCCACAACCTTAAACCCTGTGTGAATGAGGCCTAAATATCTATACAAAAGCACCAAAGTCCAGTAAATACTTCTGCTTTTCTGTAACTACTTCATTATGTCACTGAACTTGGGGGGCTGTTGCTTAGAAATGTAATTACCAGAAGCTTGATAGTCAGAATTTGCCACAAAGACAAGCAAACTGAGCACAAATAAAAAAACAGAATTCATTTTTGAAAAAAGTGGAGATAGAAGCAGTTATAGAAACACAGAAAGTCCTATTGGCATGTAAACAGGCAAGAAAAAAACCCAACATCAAATTCAGGAAACTATGAATTCAGAGAATCTATCAATAACCCTTCCCAGTCTGAGGTCTTCTGAAATCACTTTTGACTGAGCCATACTGCACTTCAACATGAGAACAAACAAAAATGCACTTTTTTTTTTTAATTGCCGGAAAGAAAAAAGCACATCAGGATTGAGTGGAACAGCTGACTCCCTACGCTTTTCAAAATGTTCCCAATTGCCTATGTTGGCAGGCTTTGGGCTTGTGTAGATGGCATCAGTTTGAGACGCTTCTGAGATCATTCAGGATTCACCGATAGGTGCCTTTGACCTGCTTGAAGAGGGTTCTACCTTCCCACAGACTTGTATGGGAATGCAAAACCTGTTAACGCAAACAAAAGCCTGTTGACACAGGCCCTTGATGAGCTGTTTTACCTGCTGGAGACTATTTGCCTATGGAGTCCTCTGGCACAGTCCTGGCAAGGTAAGAGAGCTGAGTTTTCTCTGCTGCAGTTCGGTAGCACGTATAGGTCTTGGTATCTACCTTGGGGGAGGGACAAGTCATACCTAGGTACTTACACTATTTGTATAACAAACAAAAAAATACATTTAGGTTTCTATCAATTAAAAGAGAACTATGGGGTAAGTGTTTTTCCCCATAGTTCTCTTTAGGGTCACAGGAGGACATATACTAGCGTCCTCCAGTGACCCAAAGCTCAGTATATAGCTGGCTATTGCCCGCGATATACTGAGAGCTCCGCGGCCGGGACGGAGCCAGACATTACTGTCTGGATCCACCCAGGTGCGTGAGTGACTTCTGGCTCTGCCTATCAAAAGGCAGAGCCAGCTGTGCCCACCCCCTGCCCCGTCCATTCCTCCACTCAGCGCTGGAGGATCGGAGAGGGGAATACTTGTGGGGAGCGGTGACTGTGCAGGGAGACGATCGGGAAGTGAGCAGATCGGTGCATGGTTCTGCTCACTTCCCGATCAATAGAGCCGACCTGCGACAGCTTCTTTGTCACGGGTCGGCTCTAACTATGAGGATGATCACTCACCTCATAGTTCTCCTTTAATACATAGCTGCATTCATTTGTGTTTATACCTTCCTGGGAGGTCAACTTTACAACCTGTCACCAACTTATCAAAATTGCAGATAAAAAGCAAAGAAAATCAAGCATATAAATCTGCTTATCTGCAGTGTTTTTCATTGATTCCCAATGTGTGTTAGATATTTGACTAGTCTCTCCTGGCCCTTTCCCCTCCATACAACCTTTTATGTAGCAAAAGGGAATACTATAGGGTGTCACGCGTGTGACCGCTCCGAGTCTTCTAGAGGTTGCCGAGATTGCACCCAGCAGCAGTCTCCAGGCTTTTGGATGTCTACACAAGGGAATCTTATGGTATGGTCTGGTGACAGGATACAACCCATTTTAAGGTTGACCTTACTTCTACTGCAACAGGAGTCATCCGTTTCTTAGCATTGCAATATCAAACACCCTACACAGAAAGGGAGCCCTTTCGCCTAATTTCATCCACATGTGGAGACCCGAGAACTCAGTTGTGCTTATCCTAATACTGAGGTCCTAGAGAAATAAGAATGCTTACCTACATAACCTTCTAACTAGAAGGGGAAAACAAATCATCTATGGGCAGCAGATGGATGAGCCACCTTTGCAGCCAGTACATAGTGATGTGAGCAGTATTGCAGCGACATAATGAAAAGCCATTCTCAGGGCCTAGCAGACTGTGGCATGTGCTGTACACTTTGCGACTAAAAACCTGTTCAGCGGGGTAATGGAGTAAATTGCAGTCACCATGGAAACTGGATAGGGTTTTAGTGCGCCTATTTCTTGAAGAGGGCTAGTTAACTGCGTAGGATGAGAAGTAATTATACATTGTCACGCTCCCATGTACACTTGTGACAAGTGAAAATGCCAATAACACTAACGATTCAACTGTTCTCTTTCTTGTATCTTCTGCAAAGATTTTGATATGCCACTATGTGCAATGTAACGTGAAAAAATGGAAGTGATGAGTGTGTTGGGTTTAACTTATTGGATCAAAACATCATGAGCATTTAAATGGTCTTCATCAATGTACTTTATATTCGTTTTTCATAAGCAACGGCATACCCGAGGACAAAACACAGTGAAAGGCTCTTAAGAAGACCTGTCATTTCAGATGACCTACCTTGTGCATACAATGTAAGGACTGCCTGGATAGCAACATAAACCCCTGAAAATTGGTAGGTCTCAAACATAACCTACAAAGGAATTAAAAAAACAGTTTGTAAAATGAGTCTGTTTGGTAAGAAAAGGGTAACAGTAGACTGAATGGTACTCTATCTGGATAACAATCATATCACTGGAAAATATGGAATAATGTTTTCCTTTCTATGCAAGGCTGGACAAAAATGCCAAAATGAATCTAGAAAATACACGAGACTCAACTTCTTTAAACTCTACTCGTTGTAATCAACTGAATATCACGATCCTAGGCACACAGACCTGACTGACTGGCTCAAACAAGGGAAAAGGAGCAGTGTAGTTAAAGTGGACCCTTACCCCTTTAAAATAAAAAAAAACACACCAGCGTACATCTCTGCATGCCGATATGAAATCATCTTACATTTTTTTTAAGATTAAGAACATATTTTTATTTTACTTACAATTTCTTTTTTTCCCCTTCTACTTCCTGGTCACCCTTGACACAAATTATGTAATCGTGCCCAAGCACTGCATCCTGGGAAAGTTCCATCAGCAGAACATCGCTGGGAAATCTAACCTGTAATCTCACAAGATCTCAGGGAAATTATGTGCTTGGTCACATGTCTCACTCACATGTGCCAGAGTTCCAGGAAGTAGAGAGATGGATTCATCTGCTCTTAGTTAAAATGGACACCGTGAGCAGAATGGGGAGGAAAAAAATAAATAAATAAGGTATGCAAAAAATTAAAAGTCTGCAATTATCTATAAGTATCTGTTTGTAGATTGCCATTACTAAACCTTTCTACAAACGTTATTTTCAAGATATGGGTAAAGTTCCTCTTTAAGAGACCTGTGCGGCTCGAGAGAAATATACCAGCTAATACAGAAAATGGCTGTAATATATGCTCTGCCTTCCCTTCATGAATGTGACTGCACCAATACAGACCGATCAATCATGTCTACACAAGTTTAAAATATAAAACTCAGTGGAAGCACAGACCCTTATTGGGAAAAAAAAGTTGAAGAACTCTGGGCAGAACTGTTCTTAACCCTTGCAGTGGAGACACCCCCGCACTGCAAGAGTTGAGTGCTCGTTTTTTGTCTAGGTGCTAAGAAAAAAAAAATCGGCTTGCTCTTAGACCAGTCCCTGCAGCGCCTCTCCCCCTCTGCTGCAAAAGCCTAAAGATCCTTGAGTCATCATGTTCTATACATTGTGTATAGGACGTGAGGACGCCAAGGGACATAGCATCGCTGCAGCAGAGGAGCAGACAGGCTTCAGGGACCACAGAGTAGCAGCCACCCAGCTCCGCGATTTGGGTGAATATAACTTTTTTTGCACCCAAACAAAAACGAGCACTTAAATGTCACAGTGCGGGGGTAGCCCCACTGCAAGGGTAAAGAACTTATTTTTGCTCAGAGTTCTGCTTTAAACTAGAACCCAATTAGCAAAATTCACAATTTTCAGATACCTCCCCTTCACTTGCATGCATTTTCATAATGACAAATCATTTGCAATTTAAACTGTAGTATGTTTACCTGCAGTGTCTGAACAGAATGTACTAAACTACATTTGAACAAAGATCCCATTCATGCTGCTTCCAACAGCAACAATTTAACATGTTGGGAGCCACTTTCGAGTGACGTCACGTGACCAGCTATAATACTGCAGGAAAATGTGTGTACGGGGATTTTTTTTTTTTTTACAACAAAACATAAGACGTGTAAAATACAGGAGTTATGCTTTAAGAACAACCTATGCATAACAGTTTCCCACTTGTACTTCTTTGCGGTAAGCATCAATTGGGGTCCATGTAAAAAGCAGGGGCATGGCAATACAGCTATGTAAAAAAAACAAAAATGGAATAAAAACATTAAGCGCACATTTATGAAGCACAGTGGTTTGCTTCTCAAATGTGCCTAAAAATTGGGGGAGTGTTAACCAGAAAGAGGCAATGGTCACAAGTAATTTGACCGGCTTCTTCTTAAATCTCCACCAGACTGCAGCCTACATGTTATGACTGGTCCCCAAAATGGTGGTGTGGTCTGTGGACGGCGGTAGGAAATTTTAAACACAATATTTTTTTGTTTGACTGTGTAGTTGTCAACACCTCAACATTTTATAAAGTAGGCCTTGGCCTACTGGTGGTCTCAAGATTGCAGATCCCAATCTTAACAAAAGAGTGGATCATGAAGAGGGGATTCTACCTTCTGCTATAAAGCAGGACTGACTACTAAAAAGGGAAAGCCCTTAAACTGCAGGAATAAGATTATGGTTATTCCTTTGCAACAGACATATATCAGCATCATTAAGGAGCAGGTATTACAAGTAGATTATCCAATTACAGAGGACTGTCCTTTCACCTAATGCAATTCTGCACAGATTATGAGCGCAAAGTAGAATGAAAATCATTTACCTCGACAATCTTCTCACGGTTTTTGGTTGGGTTCATCGGTGGCTCTGTGAGGAGGATTTTACAGTCTTTGGTGTCTATGTTCAATTTCTCAGGCCCGAATGTGTAGTCCCACAAGTGCTTCATGTCATCCCAGTTCCGCACAATACCATTTTCCATGGGGTAGTTTACTTCTAGCATTGAACGGAGCTCGCTGGCTTCATCACCAACCATGAGGTCCTGAGAATGTAGACACAAAGCTAAATAAACACAAGCAACCGTGCTTTTTATAGGATACTTTATAGAATGTATGATCTATATAGAATATATAGCAAATCGATGTAGAGGTAATCAGAGATCAAAGAATATAACATAGTCATAAAAATATACTGGATATCTAATCACTTTCCTAATGTTCACCACTCAGATGCTGAACACTCGATTACAGCGTTACACATCACCAAGGACCAACCCACACCTTTACACTAAGCATGTTCTTTAGCACAGCTGAAACCTTATCTATAGCACACGACCCTCTTTTCAATGCATACATTTTTATTTGGTGCTTAAACGATTTTCATAGGGATAAATGGTACCACATTTAAATACTTACTCAACATATTTGTCTAAAAGGAAATTCCAGGACTGCCGTTGCTGATCTACTTCTGATAAGGTTTCTTGTCGGCCATGCTGACCCCCCTGAGTTCAATACTTTGTGGGTGACTGATCCAGAACAAGTGGATCAGGAGTTCGGACTTCACTTGGTGCATACTTGTTGCATGACAGCAACTAAGAAGGTGTAGAGGTAAGATGGCTAGGCTTCTAGTACAGCACTAACTTTATCTTTTCATGCTAGTTTGCTTTTATTGCTTGCAGCTGCACATAAAACACACTCTACCTCACAACCCGTGAATTAAAGATGGACTTAAAAGCACACAATGAAATGGCAATGGTGCGTTTGCACAATAGTCAACAAATCCAAAATATGGTGGAATTCAAAAGCTCTGTCAACAGTGGGGAGGGGGGGACGGATGTCGATTGCTGAAAATATCATGGAGCCTCGTATAAAATGGTTCTATAGAAGCCTTTCAAAAATTCTTCCTTTCTTTCCTTCACATCAGATAAAAGGACAACTGGGATCTGATTATCTGAGCAACATGATCAATTCTGATACTCCAGTCCTACAGAACTCAGGATCCAACTGGAAAAACTAAGGGCAATGACTCAAGGGTGACTGTCACTGAAGATACCATCACTAAAAACAAATTCTATTATTACTATTAGAAGTCTTTCCATCACTGTAAATCATTAGTGAGAAAGTGACAGAAAATAACAATGAGGGTTTTCTGGCAGACTAGAAATATAGAGTGCAAAGTCACATTAAAATCTAGTGGCATACATTTAGACAGCCACGGGCAACTGCTTACTGCAATATAGTGGATGAAACTTTCAGTCTGGGATTCTTGATAAGGAAAAAGAACACAGTTGTGGTGGTGTTAAACCCTAAAAGTGGGCATCCTCACTGGTCAAAAAGGAGGTATGGAGAGCAGGAAGGGTCACACAACACTGCTACCAGGAGAGATATTGTCCCTGTGACACGTTACCACTGTCATTTCTTTTTAAGGTATGTACTCAAAGACAGATCCTTCTACTCATTTAACTCACTGACCTGGAACAAGCATCTGAATAATTAGGCATCCGGCACCCAATATGCACATACTTATTCCAAATCTTTGCCCAACCAAGAAATGAAGGAATAATAAAAGGGTGATGGTGCCAGAGTCTGCACCTTAAAATCAGCAAAGACATCTACCAAATCACGGTTTAGTCTTATACAGTCGTTCAGGCCAAAGTAGATGCAAACACCTTGGCCACTGGGTATGTTACTTTGGTTTAGGTTTACCTATTGACGGGCAAAAAAAAAAAAAAATCCCAACTGTTCACATTCCAGAACTAGTCAAACCTGGTGCTGCAATAAAGGAGCAACAAGAAGTTGCTAGCCTGGAATGCAGGAAAAATGTGTTCTTTCAAGGTATAGTCATCTCACATGGAGGAAACGCACACCATTGTTATGGATATTATTATCTACACTTTCCAACCTATTTTAGTTTGTTAACAGGACACTAAACTCAGGCGTTAAACCTGAAAAATGTATACAACTTAATCATTAACAATCTTAATAAGTATCTAATTTGTGTATCACTCGGCTGTAGATCCTCAAATCATCTCTGAATTACTTTTGTTCCCCATGGTCCCTGGGTGTGTTGTAAAGTAGTCACCGCTCCAAGCTCGCGCTTGTGATGGACTACAATCTCAATACAAATGAGTGAACTAAACATGAGATTTTAATCTACACCCCCTGTCACTTCTGCATTCTAAAATTAATTTGAATGCATTTTTAATGGAAAATGTAGGTTTCATAAACCTTTGTGGTAATATAAATTGCAACTGCCACCATTTTATCCTACAGGGTTTCTGCTTTCAGAAAATATGTAATTTTGAGAGGCTGTAATCAATTTTACGGCTAAAAAGTGAATTTTAACTTGTGCAACAAGAAAAAGGCTCTGGCAGCAAAAGGGTTAAAAGATAACTTAATAATACTAAAGGTTTTCTTTAATAAAATAATCACAGACACATTAAAAAAAACAAAAACAAAAAAAACTTACCAGTACTGCAACACAGGAAGCCATCCACTAAACAAACTCTACATGCTGTAAAGCTTAAGAAGTTTGTAAGAGATGTAAGGCGCAAGACTTACAGACAGGTTAGTCATTAGTCAAATTCCATCTTGTAAAACTCACATTTTTACCTGTCATTCTACACACTTCCAAAAAAAAAACCCACTCAAAGCATATCAACCCCCAAAACCAAAAATGGAATTTATTGCAGCTTACCAGTCCTTAGTGTAGTGGCTGCATTGGTTTTCTTTTAGGCTTTTTTCCCCCACTCCATTGCATCTATGGGAGTCACGGTGCCACCCAGACTGGACTTCAAACATGCCTGCCTTTGTTTATTTCCATTACATGGGGTGTGGGGAGATTTAGTAGTTTACAGAAGAGAAGATTTATTTTTCCCGGTCAGCTCACAGGAAGTGACGAGGGTGCTGCAGCTCTGGCAAGATCAACAGGTATTTTCCGTACTCGCCAAAATGTTCTTAGCCAGAGAAATGAAAACAAATGCAGCCACCACATCTAAGGACTGGTACACTGCAATATATACAAGTTTTGTTATTGGTTTTAGTTATCCTTTAACTCTTAAGTTTCCAAAGGAAACATGGGAATTGTCACTGCTGACTTGTTTCGTGAATACGCATGCTCCAGGGTTGTCATCTTAATCATTCTTTCAATATGTTATGTGCCAATGAGCCAGAACAAGTATGTGCATATTAGATGATAGCCTTGTAGCATAAATCATCAAAAACTGGTCATTTATGGCACTTTCTTCTGTCCCTTTAAGAGTCTAATTGCACCAAAGTGCAAGTGCATTATGATGCACATGCACAGGCCATTTTATTTTTTTATAAAATAGCTTTAAGACATGCTTCTGAGAGCCCTCTATGAACATAGCGAATGCTTTTTACCAACTTCAATGATTTTTAAACTGCTCTTTCTTCCAAAGTTGTTTTTTCCAACACCAGGGGTCTTTAAATGGCGCACCGCGATCCAAACACGGACTAAGTGGCGGTTCTGTCTAAGCCGCAAATGCCAACCTGCGCAGGGTTATGTCTGACTGACAGTGGACCCACTGCCATCCAA